TAAAAAATTTTGAATTAATCCTTTTTTATTATATTTATTAATTTGCATAAGTTATTTGTTTCTCTTTAATTACATATATAGTTTTATTTTATTTTATGCTTATTACTTTAAATTGCCCGCGCTGCACACTCAACATTATGGCTGACCATTTCACTTCAGATCAAAGATGCCGACATTGAGTGAACTTACTGTATCTACTTATACTGTGGTTAGTGCATATTAAATGCTAATATACATGAAATTATTGAAATGTAAAAATACATAAACATTTCAAAATGATTATATAAATAGTCAACAATGAATTTGTCATTATTTAGCTGAATATGAATTAATAATTTCATTATTAAGGAAGTGATATTATGCTGTCATATTTAAATATTTCATATGTAGCAGTCTTTAATGTGCATTAACCTGAAGTAGTGTAGTGAATGGAATTCGCTATCAGTATCAAGCATCATGCGCATAGGGGTGGAGCCAACCTCTTCGTTGGTTTGCCTCTGTTATATCCTGGTCAATATTTCAGTCACGATTTGGGTTCGGGATCGATAATGGGTTTGCGTGAGGTGCGCGTAAAATAGAAATTATGAATGATAAAAGTACGCGCGGCAGCGACGCGACTGCTCTGCTGAAAAATTCGAACCGAGGACGTTATGAACATCAGAAATCGAGAAAACGTCAGTAGGTTCTTGTCTTTTCACATCAAAAGTGCAACAGAATCGTCCATCGGATCTCGTTCATGGAGGAAACCCTCAGGGGAGGCATGAGATGCGAAAAAATAGCCTTAGAAGAAGCACGTAAGTTGTTCACGCTCACATGGTTTGGAAAAATTGCAAGGAATTAATTGACGAAATCGTCGAAATTAACAAAAGTTATTTATCTTTGCAGGATTAATCCACTGACGCAAAAGATAAACAGTCCTCAACATCTGTTGCGATTCAAAAATGAAGAGGATGGATTGGATAACGAATGGTATAGTCGCTTTCGATTACCTAGTTTACCACAGCAGAAATCATGGAAGGATGGCGATAACGATGTCTCATACAATGGCAATAGCGCAGCAACATCTGTTTCTTGGTCACAGGAGGTGGAGGATACAGTGACTCAGAAATTGGAGGAACAGTGGGCAACCATAGAAAGAACCTTTTACGAAGAGGATGATCAGTTGTTTCAAGAATCTATTTTGAACGAATGTATACAATGGAGAACGCAGATTTTGTACTTGAGAATAGTCGGCAAAGTTCCAACTTGTACTGGTGATAGCACATGGAACAATATTCTCAGCTCAAATGATAGAAAGACAAAAAAGCTTGATAATTCACAAAATGATGAAGTATTTCTGGAACATAATCTGTTGTTGAAGGTAAAGAAAAAAAGTATCTTCCTCAGCATGTACTATGTAATCTGTGTATACATTATGTCTTTATATTGTTGCAGAATGGAGAAGATTCTATACAATATAAATTGAATAGAGCGAAATTCGAGGAAGTTCTCGATACATTGATGGAATATGTAATCTTAGAACTTTTTCTTAACGAAAAGAATATGGATACAGATTCTTTGCGCGACGATTTAAATGATACTTTAAGAATACTTCCCGTTCCTGGTAATAGAAACTTGTCAAGAAATTTGAAAACAAATTGGACAGAGGAGGCAATCTCGCCCAATTATATCGAGAACAAATCTCTGAGCATAAGAAACCGACTACTGGATATAGAAAGCTCCCTTCAGATAATGAAGAACGATATAGATCATCAAGGGGTTCAAAAGTAAGATTAAGAAAGAAAATAAAGTATCGAAAGCAAGAGCGATTTTTTTACTTGATATAATTTGATTTTTAGGAGACTAAAAGATTCAATTTCTGCAAATAGACTAAGAGATTTTGTCAATCCAGGAGATGATAATGCTTTGAAAGAAAGACTGTGTACGCCACATATAGGTAGAAATAAGCTTGGCACTATCTTTAACGAGAGAATTGTTGTAAGTCCTGTGCCTTTTACAGTGTCTACACGAGAAAGTTTTTCTACTTTAAAAACTGTCCCAATTAAATTCATAAACGAAAATTTCCAAATTTCTTCCTGTCAAGGTAAATATTCAAATTTAATATTGATTTATTAAGATATTGATATTAATATATATATATTTTGCTAATATTTTAGGATCGGCTCGAAATATTTCGGGCTTCCGAAAGTCTGCGAGAAAGTCGAGTGCTTTAAAAAATTCGAATATCTATTCTACCTGGCAAGCTCCCGTCTGTCCTACCGTTTGGCCGAAAAATATTCGACTCGCTCCCATAGACACTTCGAGATTTCCTAGCAGCAAAACTAGGTGTGTTGATTGCAGAAATTTGAAACTTTCCTTTTAAATAAAAATTGAGAAATTTGAAATCAAAGGATAATCAGGATTATAAATTTCAGATCATCGGCACCCTCGCCTGCTGTCTTGCACTGCAGCAGAAAACCGTTGAGTCCGATTTCCCACTCTACGGTACCAAAATCTGCCCATACAATTCGCGATCATAATGAATTTTTAACGATTCAAGGGAAACATATTGTTCCTGCGCAATCGAAGATCAGTCTGCTTTCGGCTGGTTGGAATTGTCCCAGAGTGATCAAGGAAAAGAAAAAGAAAACTCGAACAAATGAAAGATTTTAAAAAAAGGCTACCACGCTAAAGCGCTTTGAACACTTACATGTGAGAAATATATATTTTTAATAATGTTGTTGACACATGTCTGACACATATATCCTGCGTGTAATCACGAGGAAGCTAAAGAGTACAAAATACCGCTTTGACGCGTTCGGTTTTGCAGCAAGATAATGCTTGAAGCACGATAAAACGCTTAACAACGAAATATATAATAATATATATTTATTGCGATGCATAAAATTTATAGATGCATCATCGCATGTTCAGGATGATCCATTATAATAGGATGATCTATTATTTCAAATGCCGTCGTTCCGTACTGATTCTACCTCCATGTCCATGTTATTCTACACGCTTATCGCGAGTGGATATATTTTTGTATGCTGCACCATTTATTGAATGTGAATAAAAATATATAGCAATGTTATTGGATAAATAAAATATTGTATCATTATTTCACGTTGGCATAATATTAAAATTTTTAAAGAAATCCAGAATACTTTTAAAATATCTAAAAATTTGGACAGGTGCAGATCTGAAAATAATTTTATTAGGCCATTTCAAAATATTTATGTAAGATGTTTAAATTGGTTGCTAGAATATCAAAAGTGTTTACAATATTATCATTGTACTTTAAGTGTTTTACATAATAATTTGTCCCAACAAAATTATTTTCAAATTTGTATCTATATATCCAAATTAGACACTAGCAAAACCATTCTTTTCATGTATATAAATCATATATAACAATATAAAAGGTTATTATTTTTTGCCCTATACGATATTAAAATTGTACGATATTAAAATTAAAAATATATTGCATAAAAGGGAATATGCGAGAAAATAAAAGAGCAAAGGTTAAACACAGCAATATGTGACCTGTTGTTAATATCTTGCGTGTTTTTGTAATAACAATATTGTCCGCCTCCAAGGGAACACGTGGCAACAGAGTTACAAGAAATTCAAATGGGAACAGCATTTGCGCAAGTTCGACATTCTCTCTTTGGCGCCGCAATGCTTCCTGCGATGCGCTTAGTTTCGCGTGAGCTTGCAAGAGTGGAGGACGCTCTTGCGACCAGTAAAGAGGTGAGTCGAGAGGAAATAACGTGATATGTTCGGATACCGCGCTGTGTAAAGGAAAAAGAAAGGAAAAGACAATTATGCAAGTTCTTTCAATTTGAGCATAATGATTGCAAAAATTTATTTTTAAGAGCGAATTTATTCAAAATAAAATCAAGAAGAACACGTTAACATGCTTGTCATATAGAATCTTTTTATAATATGATTTGCTTATTTGATGTCGGATATAAATATATAACACACATTCTTCAAAAATAATTGCGTGTAAATTTGAGTGAGGAGTTACTAATGCATTTTTAGTTCTTTTTCGCCCAAAGTTATGTTAGAGAATATCGTTCACATAATTACTGTGAGTGAGGTACTCTCATAGAATCTTTGTTAAAAGCGTGTAAACGTGCGGATTCATCGAACATCCCATGATAATGCAGAAAAATCCTATCTACAATATGACCTTCGATAGACCGAACGATGAACAACGTTTATCAACGATAACGAGGATCGTAGGAGTATGCACCGCTATTGGTGAGTTTTGATAATTTATGTTGCATAATACATACGTACCGTACATTTAATTCCAAACAGTTGAGAAATATAGATCTTTCTCGAAGGATGTGAAAAGAGATAGTTTAAAATTCAGAATATATGTTTGAAAATAATTATTAACATATATAACAATTAATATGAAAATCCAGAAATATTAGAAAGGAGAGAAAGCTGCGAATTATGCTAGAGTTTATTATAAAAAAGTTAGAACTGTACGAAAAAACCGATTTGAATAAAAGTTTTAGGAAGAGACGGTGGAATAAAAATTATCCTTTCTATTGCTTCGAATGAGAATGGGGATGGTACACCACGCTTTTCCGCTTATTACCGCTTAGGGAAGATAAAAGGGTTCTGCACCTGTCTGAAAAGCTCTTTATCTGCTTAATATTAATCGTTATACAGTCAAAGATAGTAGTTGATATCTTTCGGGATAAGTTACTCTCGTAATTCGCCCGACGAAGAGATGCTTTCGTTTAAATAGTTGCACAAAAATTGAACTCTAGTAAAAATTTCAAGATGCGAACAGTCCCTTCAAATTCGATCAGAATCCCTTCGAAAATTCAAATCTGCGTAACAATAGCTACGAAATGCTAACGCAGCATACTATTTTATTTATTAGAAAAAAAAATATATAGGACAATTCTAGACAATTGCGACAAATTTAAAGACGTGTTAGATCTCGTTAAATTGAACAATTTTTGTTAAGTAATCCAATGATTGTCTCGCAACGTTGCGACAAACAATAATATAAAAAATACTCTGAACGGATAGTCCATTATCCTCAGATAAACGAAATTTTTCTAGATGTTGTCATGACACCGCTACCAAAATGTTAGTATCACAACGCTACTCAATGCTAACTCATCCATCACGAACCAGCGACACGAGGATTAATTACCCGCATAGTTACGCTTCGGTTGAGTCTCTTAATTGATAACGCTTAATGCCTCACCCCATTTGGGGGCAATTAGCGCGCGCGCGCGTCGATCGAATGAATGGCAAGTCGCGGTCCGAGAACGTTGAGATTCGGACTCTGAATCTACCCATTGACATTTAATTATGCGTGGTTTCTGATACCAAATGACCAAATGACAGACGATCGTGAATCGTTACCGAAATCACGGAATGTATGTTCACGGAGATGCTTATAATTCTGTTTCGTCGTATTTGCTCAGACTTGATAAGTTTTCGCGTTGCGGAACGGATATCACGATTTTGTTTTTCGCGATCACATTCGTGAATGCCCCGTACTGTACAATATAACGCACACATACTGCTTTTCTATCTTTCATTTTAACGATTTATCTTTTCTGTCCTCTTGGCAGCTCGTTGAAAACTCGCTCGTTTTTAATTGGTTTAGCGCGAGTGTAAAACAAAATATTTTACATTGGAGGATAACGCAACGGAGCAACGAGAATTTTTGCGAGAATTGCTTGCGAATTAACGCGACGAAATGTTTTTCCCTCGACGAAAATATTCATGCGGATCGCGCGTTTTTCCATGTCGCGTAATAATAACGCGCCATGATGCTTTATCGAAAACCAGTTTTAAATTTGTTTATGATTTTCACAGTACAGTGGTTTGCACACATGCGCTCACACACACACACACACACACACACACACACACACACACACACACACACACACACACACCACACACACACAAGCTGTA